TCTGCTTTTAGGGCACATGTGTTGAGGGTTTTCGCTTTGATTTGCTCGACTTTTAACATGTGCGTGTATGTGTGTGTTTTAGCCTATCATCAATCATCAAACTATGCGGTTCCTTTTGGATTTCTTTTTTTTTTATTATTATTATTATCAATAATTCCTTCAAAAAAAAAACACCACACTCTAAGACTTAGAATTTGACAAAATTTATGCCTTCATTTATTCATTTTATTATATGATAATGCGGTCGGTATATGTTTATTGCTTCATTTGATGAATTTGCTGTATATTTAACATATTAGATTTCAAGAGTTATAATTGTCAAAGCATTTTATATTAATAGTTTAATCCGAATTTATAATAGTTTGAATACGCCTGTGATTTTCAGATTAATTGAATCAGCAAATGCTACAGTCAATTACATAGTGTTTATGCACGGTTATATTAAAAAAAAAATTATTTAAGTACATAGAAGTTTTAAAACAAAGGATTAGATTGTACTGTACTACCAGGAAAAAAAATTTAAAATGCCGAAAGCATAAACCTCGAATATAGATCGAGTCATAAGATATAATTCTTTGATTTACAAGAAAAATACAATATATTTGTTTAAACATAAATAAAACTAGAATGAAATTCATTTGCAATTTGTAAATCTCCCGCGAACTTTAATTTATAATTTCCTCCTTAAAGAATATTTACCTTATTACAATTTGAATCATTTGAAAATTTTTTGCAAGAACATATTGATTTTCCCCTTGTTGACTGAAGAGCAATAAAATATATTACCCATTATTTTGTGGATTTTATTAATTTGGACGTATAGGTCAGCAAGGCCTAACTGAACTAAGAGTACTCCATGTGCATATCGTTATACTTTCAAGTTAATATGTCAACTTTGTAATAAATAAATAAATACATTAACTTTATATCTCAAGTGATTTAAAATTGAATATTACAAAATTTATTTTGTATTTTAAGTGATGTAGCTATCGATTTAATATACTTACGTCACTTTTTACATCTTTCTACAGCTTATGAGATGTTGACATTTTAACTACCAAATAATTTAGGGTACAAAGTAAGAGTAAACGACTTTATCCCACCTAAGGTTTGTCTTAATGATATTTTTTCACCTAAAAAATTTTAAAATATTACTTTTTCACCCAAAGTTTATATTTCGTTAATACTGAAAACACACTTTATTTTCTCAATCGGTATTTGGCGAGTTACCAAGAGGTAGGATAAGTAGGATTTTATAGAATGGAGGCCGGTGGATCAAATGGTGATAACTAGTAGCGGATCTAGAAATTTTTGTTAGGGTGAGCCAAAATAAAAACTAATTGTACATTAATATTTTTGTTAGGGTGGGCCAAAATCTAGAAATTATATATATTAGTATTTTAGAAAAAAAATTGAGGGTGGGCCAAAATTAGGCTGGATCCGCCCTTGGTGATGACCAATTGAATATTCATCGTCGGAATCAACCAGAAATCAGCTAAGAACAAGAAACTCTAGCTTTACAATGGCCGACAATCAGCGAGAAATCAGGTGTCAGAGTGAGAGATATTTTATAGATAAGAGACCAGATGTTCAAATGATGGTGACAGAGAGAATTTTCACCATTAGAATTAACTTTGGGTAGTAACGAGATATTAACTTTGGACGAAAAGGTAGTATTTTAAAACTTTTGAGTGGAAAAATGTCATTAAGGCAAACTTTGGGTGAGGAAAAGTTGTTCATTCTTCAAAGTAAGGATTCTAAAAAAAAAAAATTTTATTGGTTGTTACATAATATTTCACACAATTTGAGATACAAGATATGGAAAACATAGGATATATAATAATCTTCATTTTCTACCTTTCAATTTTAAATCAATGTTAGCGTCACATTATAATTGAAGATACGAAAATTGGCATACAAACTTTTGGAAATATAAAATTATTCATTTTCATTTGCTAATATAATACATGAACTTTAGTATATGTTAAGCAACCACTTCAATCAAAATTCACTATTAAGTAAGAATCTTTGACATTGGAAAATGTTTTGATATTTTTTTATTACGTAATTTGGATAGCTGGCATTGTTCAAACAACAAAAAATGCGTTCATTATCATATTTAATTTTTTTATAAAAGGATTCAATATTTTGTCAGTCTACCATTTAAACCAGTCTCCTATATTATAAATGTCTTATGAAAAGTTAAAACACGAAGATTTGAACTTATGACATTTAGCTTGATACTATATTAAATTGTCATTCTACATAAAAAAATAATCTTGTAAGTGATGGCTCAACATTGATATTTATACCAATAAGACTCCTTATATGAAATTTGATATATATATTTTTTTTTAATCTAGTTGAAATGTAGAATTTGAATTAAGACTTTTGACTCTAATATCATATTAAATTGTAATTTTATTTAAATATTTAAACTTTTAAATAGAACGAGCGATTTAGGAGACCTATACTCAAGTGTAAATACCATATCAGGACTAAAATAGAAACAGAACCGTGTTTGAAAACTAAATAACTTATACATAATAGAATACAACCAACAGGGTGCGTTTGGTTTAGTATTTTGGATAGGATTTTAGGAATAGTATTGGGTTATTGGATATGGGAGTATTACGAGGTAAATTTTAAAAATTTATAAAAAGCCCTTAGGTTTACTAATTTAACTAAAGACCCTAACATAAAAAATGACAAAAACACCCCCACCACCTACAGTGTCAGATTCCGGCCACCACCGCCGGAATCTGGCCGAAAAATTTTGCTACGGCACAGACTTGTCGGATCTGTGCCGTAACACGTCGTTATGGACTTTTCCGGCCAGATCCATGGTGGATCTGGCCGGAAAAGGCCAGATCTACGGTCTGTTATGGCCGTCGACGGCCGGAAAAGGCCAAACGAGGGCCATCTTTGGCCGTCAGCGACGGCCAAAGATGTGGCCGTCGTTTTCGGTCAACGACGGCCATTTCTTTGATCTGGCCGGAAAAGGCCACAGCGGTGAACTTCCGGCCATTTCTGGTCGAAAGTTAGGCCGTTGTACAGATTCCGACTATCACCGACGGTGGTTGCCGGAATCTGACAAGTTGGGTTGATGGGGGTGTTTTTGTTAATTTTTAAACTTTTTTTTCAGGGGGTATTTAGTGAAATTAATAACCTTATGGGGTTAAAATGTAATTAAAAAAATAGGGTAATATTTATAGAATATTGTACCAAACGCTATTTGGAGAATAGGATCCAGAATAGGGATAAAAATATTAAACCAAACATGCACATGAAGATTTGTATCATAAATAAAACTATATTTGATAACTGTCAACCATACTCTTCTTAATGTTTCTCTATTTATGTTTCAGAACAAAGATTTTCAGGACTACTAAAATTTCTACCAGATAGAAACCAGACTTCGTCGTTCTCCATTCCTAGTATATTTTTAAGTTATTTTATTGAACTAATACAATGTTAAACCTTTACGTACTAAATGCTTTTAGGTATGATGACAATTTAACATCTTTTAATCTTTTTTACAAAGAAAATTCTATATCTAAGTTATAAATCAATCATCGGTCCCGGTTTTCAGTAGTGATTTATGTAATTTATACTTGGGTTTTAATTAAACATCGATCATTATATTTTTCCCTATATTTATACAACACAAAACTTTCCTTAGCATTCATTAGAGGTATAGATATACTGAGTTCTTGTAAATATTTACATCTCTTTTGTGTATTATAAAATGATATCTTAGCACCGAACTGTAAAACTAAAGAATAATATATTAGAAAAGAATAATATAGAAGTTAAAGAGACCATTAGAATCCTTAGAAACGAAGGTAAAGGTATGGAAACAGAGACATAAAACCGCGCCCGAGAACACAGAGTCGGTTGCTGTCTTGTTCATAACACTAAAATAATAATAAAAATACATGAAATAACATAATTACATATGGAGAAAGAGAAAGAAAAGTGTTCGAAGTTTAAGCCAACCTTTAAGACCCCTTTCCCTCCTCTCGTTTAATATAAAAAGTTACAGAGAGCATGGCAGTGCCACTGTAAGCCATGTTTGCTTAACGTCACTGCTATTTAATTATTGCACGGTTTCTTGACCATTTCTTTGTATTTTTCCTCTTTAATTTATTTGTTACATATATCTTAAAATATTGCCTCTTCCTTTTAGCGACCCAGCTTTCCATGCATTCCTTCACATGCACTTCCCCAACCCTAAACCCTAGTATCCTTCTCCACCTTTCACACTCCTCTTTTTACCATTTTGACCACTCTTTTCTCTGTTTTTACCATGCAAACTTCCATCTATCATCCATGGAATTTACATTAATTTTATTGTCTTTTAATTAAGGAATTTCATCAATTCATCAATAACCCCAGAGAGGCTATATGACAAGTTTCTCATTTTGAAGCATCTTGTATATAGAGATGGCTCTGTGTGAATGATGAAAGTTATTCCAATTGTTTCTTTTTTCATTTTTCTTTTTCTTTTTTTTTTTTTTTTAACTAAAAAGAAGTTTGAATAAGCAAAATTTAGGTAGAAAAGGTATTCTGATAATTAAATTTTAAAATCCTCTCAGGTGTATTTGAAACTTTTAACCAAAAAGTAGAGGAAGTTCCAAGACAATTTTCACTAATATCTATAAAAGCTTTATACATACACACGTGTAGACATTTATCTATGTAAAAGGAGATATAGAACTAAAAAAGTTGAACACTTAGAATTTTAGAATTAATAAGAAAAAAATAATAATTTAAAAAAGAAAAAAAGAGGTGATGATTGTAAAGCAAAATGATAAGCTAACAAGTATAATTAATTTTCACATTAGCTAGATAGGGATGATTTAGTAACTTCACAAAAGTAACATTCCTTGAAAGCTTTTATATAGCTTCACCTGTGTTGCACTTTACTGTAGGTTCATGTGCTTAACTTTTCTCCTATATTTTAAACCTAGGTTTCAGCTTCAAGAATATTTCTTTTTTTCTTTTTGCTTTTAATTTTTCTTCAACAACAGTAATGGAAGATCAAGGCCAAGATAGTAACAGTCCTAGTCACGGCTCTGAGAGAAGTGAACCAGTGCGGTCTAGGTGGACTCCAAAGCCTGAACAAATCCTCATTCTTGAATCCATCTTCAACAGTGGCATGGTAAACCCTCCTAAAGATGAAACTGTGAGGATTCGAAAGTTGCTTGAAAAATTTGGTTCTGTTGGCGATGCAAATGTCTTCTATTGGTTCCAAAATAGACGATCAAGATCTCGCCGCCGACAACGCCAGTTACAGGCGAGCCTTAATGCTGGAGAACAAAGAAATCAACCGCAACCGAGTGGTGCAATTCAATACGAAAATAGCTATGCTCCTATGGGCTTCAACACGTCTCCAGCTTTTGCTTCAACTCCATCTAATTTTCTTGTTGGTTCTTCTTCTTCTTGTGGAGTTATGGGTGATGATGGTGCGGAGAATCTTTTTTCAGTGTCTGGTCAAATGGGTTTCCAAGAAATTGAACAGAACTCCAGTGTAACTTCAATATTATGCCCTTCAGAAACTTCCAATTTGCAATATCAATCTGGTAATTAAATGCATGGATGTGTTAGTCCATTAGATTTCTAATCTTTTTCATTTTCTTCAGCTAGTTTTTCCTAATAGATTGAGATTTAAAAAAAAAAAAAAATTTTTGATTAATAACATATAAATCAGCTCTTTCCTATTCTTTTCACTAAATCACTGAATTAAAACGTGGGAATAAAGTTAATTGAAGTACTAAATTTCCCTGTAATTAATTGATTGACTTTTTTTTTTCTGCGCGTGTGTGTGTAAAACAGGATTTATCACAGTTTTTATCAATGGTGTGCCAACAGGAAGTTCCAAGGGGGCCTGACATGAAAGCAGTGTTTGGCCAAGATGTAATTTTGGTTCATTCCTCTGGTGTGCCATTTACTAATGAATTTGGGTTCTTAATGCAGAGTTTGCATCATGGTGAAAGCTATTTCCTGGTAACCATTTCTTGAAAAAAATGTATTTTTTTTCAGTCTACTAATTATTGTCTCTTCCTTCTTTTCTCTCTTCTTTTTTTTTTTTTTTTCAATTTTTGGTTTGGCCTCAATTTGTATCTTAATATTGGGCATTAGCTTCTTTTCTTGGCAATCAGATTGTTTATAAGTAATTTAATAATTTGAGTTTAGATTTTCTTTTTCTTTTCCTTTTGCATGAATCCTTCTGATGAGATCAAATTCAGCTATAAACAGGTTTTTTTAATAGTTAAAACTGTACTTATATTTAGCTTTATCTGGGTATAAGAGGGAATTTTTGGTATGAAATCTTTCAACTACACATTCATACTTCATGTTATAATTAAGTATTAAAAAATGTTGAGATCATTTTTTGTACTTTAATTAATCAGTTCAAGATCCTTAATTAGAGGTCTAAATACGGTTTTGAAAAGTTTAAGTGGTACTAGATACTAATTTAATTATTTTAAGAAGATATGGGAGTTTCCTATCCGAAACCCGTTTGCTTTTATAATTTTTATTTTTTTTTTTTCACTTGTGGTGGGTTGGGTAGTTCATGGAATCTACCAAAACAGCTTACAAAGAAAAGTAAAATTTTGGTTACAGGTTTCAAGACCGGCATAAACAAGAATCAAAGCTGAAACAAGTGGGAGCTTCCTATATGTGAGTTCCAGTATACTAGGGCTGCTATTCTGTAATAATTCAAAGCTCAAGCAAAAAAAAAAAAAAAAAGATTATAAGTTATTGTATGTTCTATGTGTTCTTTTTTTTTTTTTTTTTTTAATTCATTCGTTTCTCTTTGTTTATATAGGAAGCCACCCAAGCTAATTTAATTAATATATACTAATTGCATGATCTAAAAATTCCTTTTTCAAGGAAACAATATAATGTATGGGCTGTTTATTTAGAAGTAATTAGTAAAAGTATGGAATATATTATATATCTTCGTTCTTGATATGTTTTGATTTTATGATATGCTTGCTTCTTGCACAATGTGAAAACTTGAGCTTTCACAATTGGCATATTAGCTTCATATGAACTTTACTTTTCTTTTTGGTAGAAACTTGAAACTTAATTGGTCCCACGTTGTCTCTACTAGATTAAGTTTGAGTCAAATCAGCTGTATTATTTGAGTTAATTTATTATTATAAATGTTAAAAGTCGTCTATTGCATATCGGTGATCATATATGGATTAATTCAAAATTAACTTTCTCTTCTTACTTACATTGTCAATTTATGATCACTAGAGCTTGATTTTTTGTTTGACTTTGTTTTATCTATTCATATGTTATTATTATTATTATTATTATTATTATTATTATTATTATTATTAATTTAATTAAATTTTACTTCGTCGGTCTTCTCGAGAATTTTTCAAAATTCTTGATACTGTGAATTTAATTAAAGATTTTAAACTTCAGTTTTAAATTAGCTAGGTACGTTGTATCAAAAATGAGAAGGGGGAGAACAATAGAAACTGCCCACTTAAAGTGATTATTCTTCTGAAACATGATTTGAAGTTTCATGTCTTATTTAAACATATAAAAAATTAGACTGGTTATTAGAAACGAATTTTGGCATGCTTTTGTAAGTTTATTTTGTCTGCTTTTTGGGATTTCTTTTAATCTCTTTTTGGGAAGGATATATTCCTTTTTGTGGGTTTCTTGTTTTTTATATTTTCACTCTTAAATTTTGACTTCTTTGAGAAAATTTCTTTTTGTATAAGGAATACGAATATTAGTGCTACAGTTAAATTAAAAGTTATATGTACTTATTATAAGAGAATAGGATCACAAAAGGGGAGACTGTGACATAAATGACAAGATTGAATAAAGATAAAAGAGTGATTATATTTTCCATAGGCTGTAAATGTGTAAGAACCAAAAAAGGATTTCTTTTTTTCTTTATTGAGTGAAATTAAAGAGTTATCTATTGAAGAACAAAAGATCTTCTCCTCAATTATGTTCCACTACGAAGTCACTTAAGTGAAACCACATAAAGTGCTACAATTGTCCTGTCATTTTTCCTTTTTCTGCTCTTTATATTTCTTGTACGTGTGATTGTTCATTAGGCAGTATTCATTTCAACTATCAAAACAAATTTTGTTGTTTAAGGAATTTCATAACAAGCAAAAGGGTTGAATTTAAGGAAAAGAAAGTTGGTATAGAAAAATTTATGACCACAAAATGATCATTCACTTCTGGACCGTGGTAGGTCGAGATTACAAATCTACTGACTCAATAGGATTTAGGCATAACATTAAAATGAAAAACAAAAAATTTATGGTTAAAGTTTGCCAAAAAAGCTTCTATAAATTATAATGCATTCACTAATTAAGTAGGTTTTATCTTGCTAATTAGATAAGAGACGCAGATCGCAAATCATATGGTTAAAGTTTCATGATATTACAAAACAATTTTTTGTGTGATTAATCACTTGCGAACAACAAATCTGATAAGACCAGAGGCTAATTAAATAATGAACAATTTTTTTGTGCTAATTATACATATGGAGGAAGAAAGCTTTGTGAATAATCAGTTGATTAATTTTGGAATTGAGAAAAAATAGGAGTTCAATTTGATAAGACCAGAGCCTAATTAAATAATGAACTCTTGTTTCCTTCATAAATATTTTTATTTAGCAACGACTTGAATTCGAGATAGACAAATCATAGGATTAAATGGTATATTAATGTATAAAACATCTTATCTAATTGCAACGACTTGAATTCAAGATAGACAAATCATAGGATTAAATGGTATATTAATGTATAAAACATCTTATCTAATTGAAGGGTAGGTCTGAAAAAATAAATAAAGCAAAAAAATATGTGAAGAGTGTCACCAATGTCGTATAAGATGGCATTACATGAAGGATTCTTGAAATATTTTCCCTGAATCCAATATTACTAGGTGTCTAGATTGTCAGTCAACATTTTTCTTCTAATGTGACACTACTTGAAATCTGTCATGTAGTTACTATAACATCCATTACATTATTACATGATTGCATTCTTTGGTTCATTATATTATTGTCACATGAACTCCAATGAGATTTATTTACATCATTTATAACAAAAGGTTGATTGATGGTGGTACAGCTAGCCTTTCAACTCTTCATAATAAATCATCTGTGATACGACAATGAAATATCAAAATATTCAATGACATATATAGCAGACACTAGTCAATAACAGACTTAGTGTCTTGAGTTGTATCCAAATCTCATAGTTATAAAGGAATTATTGTTAAAATTTTATTTAATCTTAGTGACACAATAATAACATATGCGTAGTTTCAATTTAAACATTTTGAGAACATATACAAACAAAAACACTACTATTACATAGACTACATAGACGGTTAGCCATATAAACAACCAAATTAAAACTCCACCGTTTTAAGGTGCAAGATTAGAAGTAAATGCAAGGAAACTTGTTCACATTGAGGTTTCTAATTAAGCTTTGGTTTGTATTTTACAGACTTAGATCATTCTCTTGGGCTTTTGGCTCGTATTTAGAGTGTTTTTTGTATCTTGATTTGTTTATATTTTATAGAGACTTGGATAATTCTCTTGGCCAGTTTCACTGTGCATTTAGACTTCTTTACAAGAACTTTTAAATTAGGGGCACACAGTTTGTGTAATAAATAAGATTTACCGGCAAATTAAATAAGAATTCAGGATAAAAAAAGGGATAGTATATATAAGAAAAAAAAGCCAAAGAATTATAGAATAATGCTGTTTCACCAAGGCACTTTTTTTTTAATAAATTGTGTCAACATATATAGTAATATGTTATAAGAATTAATTTGTTAAGTGATTTAATTAAAATTATTCTTTCCCCAGAAAAGAATCCCAGAAAGTTGTTTCCTAATAAGGGTGATTTAGTTGGTGGTGAAACTGCACGGCCAGTACGTGGATTCCCCCCCTCGAATTGAAAGGAATTGAAGTCTCGAAAAACCATAAAAGAAGTCACCAACTTGGCTTCAACACCGACCAATATAACCAATACTAAACGGACGGATGTTTGTTATGACATTTCTTTACTTTATTCTTATAACATTAGGGCACATTTACTGAGAAATACCATGTGATTAAACCTTTTATAGGCTGTCATGTGAATGCATAAATATATGCTTTCAATATTCTAATTAATTCTACCATTTTTCTTTTTATATTATAAGTTTAAACAACTCGGTCAATAACCTTCTCTGGGAATCCAATTTGTACTTGTCTTCCTCATGATTTGAAAGGAACAAATGGTCCATTTTTTCAAAAAATCCAGCAGGGTTTTTCTTGACTACTGTGAAGATTACTCGCATTTATAAAGAGGCTTCAAATCTTTCATTTTTATATGTGCCTTGGGTTACAAAGTACATACTGAAATTTATTTATTTTTTTGTGTGTGGGATAATTAGGTTTGTTTACTGTATAAACAAATATTGAGCATGGTAATTTTAACAGGACCCGTGAATGAATCCAATGCAGCACAAAAACTAAATAAATCTTTCTTCAGTTCTATGTACTTCTTTACTAGAGAATTACTAGATATGATGATCTTATTATGATAATTAAATAGTTTGAATTCTCGCCCAAATTAAACAAATTCCTTTTCAGCCTGATATTATCCAGAAGCTCTATTACAGTTACAAAAGGACTTCTAAAAGTAGCTTCCCAGGTGTATGGATGTATGATAAAGTTTTTTTTCTTTTTAATTACGCTAAAAGAAAATTAATATTTGAAATTAACTAGTTCAAGTTATTTTAACTTAAATTATTATCAGAATGTGAACTATTTATGAATTGTTATAATGTATTATGTTATTATAAAAGAAAAAAGTATAATCACCTTTCAATTTCGTCACACATGATATTCTTAAATATTACTCTATATTAGTTGTGTGAAAGTAGATGTAATTATTCAATTAAACTTTGTCGGTGATTATCTCAATCCAGTTTACTAATAAACAAAAATACGCAAGTCCTGACTGTGACCGTCCTATTACCTGTTAAAAAAGGTCATATTTGTGTTTTTAAAATATCAATACAACTTAATGTTGGTAGATTTATTCCCAATTGTATTCCTAAAATAAAACAATTCTACTTAAATACAAATTAGAAAAACTCATGTCCTAATCCAACTCTAATTTGGATTGAATTTGACTCCACAATCTCAACAATCTCCCACTTGGAGACTAATTCAACAAGTCTTCAATTCTTCACTTCCATCAATAGCGGCATCAACTTCTCTTTCTTCAAGCAAGAAGTCCAAACTAAAGTTGTACACAACTTCAGTTTCTCAATGGTAACCACCTTCGTAAACATATCAGCTGGATTTTTACTCCCTTCAATCTTCTCGAGAGTTATAACTCCTTCTTCCAAAACTGAGCATATGAAATGGTAACGAACTTCTATGTGTTTTGTCCTAGCATAGTAGACTAGGTTTTTTGCCAAGTGAATTGCACTTTGACTATCACAATACGAAGCGCCTCTCTCATAATTCTGACCCAATTCTTTTGGAAACTGTTGTAACCATATTAGCTCCTTACTAGCTTCTGTCATAGCAACATACTTTGCCTCTGTAGTAGAAAGAGCAACAATCTTTTGTAACTTGGAAACCCAACTGACTGTTGTACCACCTAACGTAAAGACATAACCTATGGTACTTTTACGGTTATCAATGTCACCAGCCATATCAGCATCCACATAACCTTGTAGCTCTAAGTCTG